CTCCCGTAAAGATTTACAGCCTTGGAAACCCTGTACAGGGTCGCTATGGGTCGGAACCGACTCGACAGCACTTTACAACAACAACATACATATATATGTTGTCAAGTGCCATTGAGTCAATCCCAAAACCCTGTATAGGGTTTCGCTGACCTTGCAGTTCATATACATATATATATATACTATTTGTAGCCTAAATACAGACAGTTGATCAAAACATATCTGTTTTGCTACAAGAGGGCAGAGATTTCTGGATTTCTTGACCCCTACTTTCCCCTGGAGGCCCTCCCAGGGCTACGGAGCAGGACCAGAAACCATGTGACTAGGAGCCTCTCAGGAGATTATCTGGCCCAAAAATTAATGCAGGACTCCTGGTGTGGCATTGTAGGATCAGCACTGGATTACAAACCACAGGTTCAAACCCACCAGCTGCTCCTCGGAAACCCTATGCAGGGTCTCTATGAGTCAGAACCGACTCAACGGCACTTAACAACAACAACAACATTAATTCAAGGAGGATAGTTGTAAAGCATTAAAAGTAGAAATTGTCTTCTTTTTTTGCAATTCCTCTTAGCTCTGAATGTAGAGCTAGGGGCTGGGGCTGGGGGGACTGATCCTCCATGGGGTGTGTGGGTTGTGGTAGCTCACTGATGAAGCTCCAGGTAGGGTAGGCCAGGCCTGTGCCACACACAGGGCTTCTCAGTGATGCAAATGGTCTGCACTCAACTTCTAACCTGAAGTTGTCAGTTCAAACACACCCGGCAGTGCTGTGGGAGAGTAGCCTGGCAGTCTCCTTCCGTAAAGATTCCAGCCAAGAAACCCTATGAAGTACACTTCTACTCTGGAACACATGGGGCTAGCCTGAGCTGGCATCAAATTGATGGCAACAGGCTTAGTTTTGGTTTGGTGCCATACACCAGGGGTGATGAACATAAACATGTTCACATATACAGAAAGACCTCTGCCTGCCTCGACCTTGGGTCCAGGGGACGTGAAACCACGCAGGTTTGGCCTCCTTACCTTTGATTCTAGACAGTGAGGAGGCTGTCTAGTGTTAGGACACCAGAAACGCTGAATTTTAGAGCCTGCGCTCTGGGGTAAAATTGCCTGCATTCAATTTCTAGCTGAGTCTTGAAATTAGAGGTTATACACCAGCTGCTCCTTGGAAACCCTATTACAGGGTCGTTATGGGTCGGAATCGACTCAACGGCACTTAACAACAACAACAACACCTACATTACAGAGATACAATGAACCTGAAATAAAATGTATACAAATGTTCAGAACAGTCAGGGCACACACATAATGCTCAGAAAATATCTGCCACCATATTCTGTGGCCACTGTGGTCAGGTCTTTCTTTATGGGACTCTACTATGTCCCCAGCTCCCCGCTAGGGTTCAAGAGTCCCAGGTGATAATCTCTCTCCTGAACAACCTGCAGCATCCCTCTGGAAGTCCCAAGGACCAGTCAGTGTGGTGCTCACCTCACCACCCTGCAGCTGCACGGTCTGATTCTTCACATCTATCCCAACCACCACACCCTGCCGGAAGTTGTCCTTGAAGGTCACCGAGTAGGAAATGAATGTCTTTTTGGCAAACCCTGGGAAACAGACACAGAAAAGATCACAGTGCAGATCGGAGATGGCCCAGGAAAAGATACAACAACCCAGAACTTGTCCTGAGCTGTATACCAACAGGAGGGTCCTTGGCCAATCACCTGGGCATCCCACACCCTCATCCCCTAAAGTGCCAGCCTGGACCTCAAGTCCTGAGAGAAGCTCGGATTTACCTCTGGGGCCTTTCTATGGCAACTTCTTAGACATCAGTGACCTCGGGATTTTCTAGAATGTACCTAATGGTAGAATGTTGGTGGAGAAAACACTCTCCAGCCCATGAAATCACACCCTTGGGTGAGGACAAGACCACAAAGAAAGCCCCAGAAGGGGAACAATTACCACTCTCCACAGAGGCCCGGAGGGCTGCCACGTTGTGGTGGAAGGCATCCTTCATGTCCACCAGCGTGAAGGGGATGTTCAGTGCTTGCAGCTGACTGGCAGCCGCCATTCCACCAAAGCCCCCGCCTACGATCACCACATGCACTGGTCCCACGTCGGCTGAGACCTGGGACCCCATCTTCCAACCAGGTACTGCTGGGAAAGTAGGAGAGACCACATCAGAGTCAGTGAGGGAGCAGAAAAGGGCTGGAAGGGTAGGATGGGCCCAAAATTAGAAAGAATTTGAATGTCAAGGCTTGGTCTTTTTAAATCATGCAATTGTTTGTTCATGAACTTTCAATTTTATAAAAATTTGTATTAAATTCAGAAGGAACAAGAGATCCTATTTCTACACCACCCAATCCCATCCTCCAGAGACAACCACTGTTAGTAATTTCTTACAAATTCCAGAGATATTCTGTGCTCCTTCAAACATGATTATTTTTTGCTTTGGAAAAAAGGTTGGGAGGCAACCTTTCACCTCCTGACCTCACAAGAGGGGAGAAAGAGAATCACCATCCACACCAGCCTGGGCAGACTCAGAGTCAGACAGGCCTCCTCCTCCCTTCAACCTTCTTTATCTGTTCTGACACCAACAGTCCTGCCCATAGCACTGACTTCTTCTCAGCTGGGTCATCCATTCATTGCAAGGACCGCACAGAACTCACAGACCACACTCATGAGTATGGGGTTAATTAAGGAAGTTGTAATTCAGGATCAGAAATGCTCAGGACACAGGTATTTGGACAGGACAGCCTTTTTGCAGCCACGCCGGCAGGCAGGCTCTTGGCCTGGCATCTGAACTGCTCAGGCAATGTTACCAAGCACTGCTGATAAATACCCAAGGCACCCCACTCCACAGTAAGCCTCAGCCCAAAGGTACCTGGCTCTAGTTCTGTGGGTCAGCAAGCCTGCCTTCCCCAATTGTCTAGAGGCAACCCATTTAGTAAGTGAGCCTCTTGCCCAAAGCCACTGAGCTTTACTTGACTGTCAGCTGAGAAGCCCACCACTCCATCTCATGGGTCTCCTGTTACGGTTCTGGGTTCTGCTGCTACCACTTCTCTGGTGTCACAGCTTCCTGTCCCTGCATCAAGGAGATTCAATGTGCAGGGATGTCAGGGTCCAAAGGATGTGCTCCATGACTGACTTTTCTCCTTGATGGCAGCGACATCCCCCTTCCTGCTTCTAAGATGGCTCATTTTATACCCACGCTTTCCTAATCACAATTATCCCTGTTAATCATTCACAACTGACTCATCTCATCCTTTCAGCATCTTCTCCCACCTTCCCCAATCAGGAAAAAGTCATTTGATGGGCATAACAAAGACCATGGCTAGAAGAACCATATTAAACAAGTCACTGCACTACATACACACATTAAACAAACTGTTATATAGTTTCTTTCACTTTAGCAGATTGTTTTCCCACTTAATATAAGAAAGGAATAACATTCATTCAATACCATACATTTATAGTTTCTGCTCTGACATGCTCTGTGCTGTAGATCCTATAGTCGGAAAGACAGATATGGTCCCTGCTCAGATAAAGGCAGACCTTGAAAACTTAAAGGGCCAGGTTTTGATGGTTAGTTTTATGTGTCTACTTGGCTAGGCTAGGGAACTCTGGTAGCATAGTGGTTACGAATCGGGCTGCGAACCTTAAGGTCAGCAGTTCGAAACTATCAGCTGTTCCACAGGAGAAAGATGAGGCTTTCTGCTCCTGGGGGCGCAGGAACGACCCAAGCCCTCCCCACTGTCCAGCCGGTGACCCAAGAAGAGGCTGTGCTGCTCCAAGATGTCGCAGATGGCCATGTCCAAGACGTACAACGTACGATTTTTTTGTTTAAGTTATTGGAAATGCCAGAACTGGCAAGTCATGCTTACTTCATCAGTTTATTAAAAAACAATTCACAGATGACTCAAATCATACAAGAGGAGTGGAATTTGGTTCAAAGATAATAAACGTCGGCAGTAAATACGTAAAGTCACAAATATGGGATACAGCAGGACAAGAGTGATTCAGGTCTGTGACGAGAAGTTACTACAGAGGTGCAGCGGGGGGCCTCCTCGTCTATGACATTACCAGTCAAGAAACCTACAATGCACTTACTAATTGGTTAGCAGATGCCAGAATGCTAGCAAGTCAGAACTTTGTGATCATCCTGTGTGGTAACAAGAAGGATTTCGATGCAGATCGTGAAGTTACTTTCTTAGAAGCCTCCAGATTTACTCAAAAAATGAGCTGATGTTTCTGGAAACAAGTGCACTAACAGGAGAGAATGTAGAAGAGACCTTTGTGCAGTGTGCAAGAAAAATCCTTAACAATATTGAGTCAGGTGAACTGGATCCATTAAGAATGGGCTCAGGCATGCAGTATGGAGACGCTACCCTGAGACAGCTCCGGTCTCCATCAGCAAGACCGCAGTTGTTAAAACTACCTTCAGGCAGGCCCACGTGGTGTACATACAATGGCATTTGGCACACAATTGTTGGAGCTTGAAAAATCTGAAGTTTTTAAAAAATTTTTTTCCTACCACCATCTTTTTCTACTCTATACAGCAGTAGATCTTTGGGGGGGGGGGGGAATAAATTTGGAGTGTTAATGGACACTAGTAAACATGGCAAACTCTATAATCTTTCCCATGGACAATACCATAAAATGTATACATGTATGTAAAACTTTTCTGTCTGCATTTTCCCAGTCACCTTTAGTTTGAAAACTGGCTCTGTATTGTATATATTGTAGCCCAGTAGGACCCCACAGCATGGTATATGATGGATGACATGTAGAATGTTGTACTAAATTTCATGTTTTTTTAAATCATACGAACTCTCTTCAATTGTGAGTTGTGCTTGTATCTTAGTGTTAGTCGGTTATACTTATGACCCAGGTATGTCATTGCTTAGTTCATTCTGTTTACTACATTCTACATGGTGTTTACGTGACCCACACTTGAATTACTCAGTCAGTAGTTATTCATTAACATATTGAAATAAAATGAAAAATGGGAGTGTTTTTTTTTCAATTAACTTTGCATTGTCCAGCTCTCTTGCTTTCAGAGTA